GACATCCCCATCCCAGGGGACCCTGACCCCGAGCATCCTCCAGGAACACAGGCGTCCCCATCCCAGGGGATCCTGACCCCGAGCATCCCCCAGGGACACAGACGTCCCCATCCCAGGGGATCCTGACCCCGAGCATCCCCCAGGGACACAGACGTCCCCATCCCAGGGGATCCTGACCCCGAGCATCCCCCAGGGACACAGACGTCCCCATCCCAGGGGATCCTGACCCCGAGCATGCCCCAGGGACACAGGCCTCCCTACCCCAAGTGACTCTCAACCTCGAACACCCCACGGAAGGAGGGGATACACAGACATCCCCGCCCCGGGGTGCCCCCTCACCTCTGCCCCCAGCCTCCCCCAGGCAGGGCAGAGCTGAGACCCCTCTACACCCCCTGGGGATCCCGAGTCTTCCCTGGGCTGCAGGATTTTGGGCTGTCCCAGTGAGCCCCAGTGCTGGCCGAGGAAGAGGGGACCAGACACCATGGGGAAAGCCAAAGCCAAGGCGTGAGGAGGAAGAGGGGGAGCGATGGCAGGGAGGAAGGAAGTGTTCCGTCCCATGGCAATTCCCGGTGTAGCCGTGGGCACCGTTATTGGGGGCTGGTGGCCCTTGGGCAGCCCTGGGGCACCCAGTCACCCCCACAGGCACGCAACAGGAGGAGGAAACTGGGAACTGGTGGAACAGCCAAGCAGCAGGGTCCGGAGTGGATGTGCTATGGAAACAAGGAGGAGGAGGAGGAGGAAGAGGAGGAGGAGGAGGAGGAGGACGAAGGCGCATGGCAAGGCTCCGTCACCCCGCTGCCCTGAGCTCCGGGGACCTGGAGATGAATGATGAGACCTCAGCGCTCCCTGTGCTGCTTAATGGCATTTCAATCCCGACTGCGAGAGGCAAACCAGAGCCGGGGCCGGGGAGGCAGACAGGATGTCTGGCCGGAGATGAGCTGGGAAGCCGATGCCTTTGGGGACCCCCCAAGCTGGGGCATCCCCCCCCCACCACCACCACCAGCAGCCAGGCACCGAGACGGGACGCGGCAGCACCCGGAGGGGGGAAAACCTGACCCCTCTTCTGGCTGTTCCCAGATGTGGGGGGACGTGGGGACCCCACCAGGTTCCTGGATGGAGCTGGAAGGAGCTCTGGGATGGTTCTGGGTGGCCTTTGCCAGCAGAGGGGACTGTTGCTCGCCGCTCCAGAGGAGCTCTCCTGGAGCCTTCCCTGTGGGACAACTCGGGAGGGGACATTTAGTCTTTTCCTCCTCGCCCTGGCGAGGACAGAGCGGGGACCCTCCCGTGGGAAAACCACCGTCTCTCCGGGAGAGGGAGGATGGGGAGAAAAAGCTGGCGACGAGTCTCTCCCCAGATGATGTTTTCCTGCCTCTTTTGTTCGCAGAAACCTCCCCAGTTTGAATTTTTTAAACCTCTTCCCCTTGCCAGCCCGCTGCCCTCCCCCAAATAAATCAGCTGGGGGGAAAAAAAAAAAAAAAAAAAAAAAAAAAAGAAAAAAGAAAAAAAAGAGAGAAAATAAAAAATAATAATCCCCAAAGGCTCCCCGCGAAGCGATTCATAACCCCACCGTGACAGCTCGGCCGTGCGGGTGAAAGCTGTGAACGAAACCAAATGTGGAGGCGGCGCTTGCCAAGTTTCGGAGGCTGCCGGTGGAACGCGGCGGCCAGCCGCAACCACAAGTCCCCGTTGGGCTCCCGACTCCGCTCGGCGCCTCCCGCCGCGCACATCTGGAAAGAGAGACGATTGCAGCTGGACACAGCTGGATGCAGCACCCCAAGGCGGGTGGGTAGGTGGCTGGGATGATGCCCGGTGCCCCCCGCCATCCCCCCGCGGCGGTTCCCCCCGTGCAAAGGGGATGATCTGTACGGCCGTACCAGGAGCACCAGCTCAGCCCTGGCTCATGCTGAGCCCAAAACTGCCCCCGGCCACCAAGAGTCACCGGCGTCCTCGGTGCAGCCATCACCTCCCCGATACGGCGAGACCCTCGACGGGCTCCGTCTGGGCTCCTTTGGCCCTGGGTTTTGGAGTGAGCTGCCCTGGAGGGATGCCCACAGCCAAACCCTTG